GACTTTTCCAGTGGGGATTGAGTCACTGCCATGGGAATTTGCCCTAAGAGCAAACTTTAGCCAATGATGGATTAGAGTAAAGGGATGATTACCACAATTTGCTTGCCCTTTGGTGTGACAATTCTCTCCCAAGGTTCCCAGGGAGCTTCCCCAGGTCTCAGCAGTAGTCTCTTATCTAGCTTACTTTTATTGACTTTGTCCCTTCAGCATCTTACCTTCCCATTCTTTCAGAGTGCTTCCTGTAATCAACTCTCATCTAAACTACTTGCCATTAAACTCTTTTCTCAAGAAGCACAAATACTAAGAACTAATCAACTAGAATATCACTAAAGGCTCCTAAAGGATCTCTCAGACCTAACTGCCCTCTCTTGCCCCTCCCATCTGTTTTATATTTTACCTCTAGATTTTTCTTTTTAACACTCTGTTGACTCATGCCCTTCAGAAATCCTCAACGGCTCCCACTGCAATAAGAAATAAAACAAAACTCTGCCCATCAAAGTCTGCCTGTATTTCTAACTGTAGTCAGCCTGCATTTCCTACCATAAACACACACTGCAGACACACCCTTCTACACATTATTGACATGAAGTACCTTCTCTATGTTTTCAAGAAGGTTGTTTCCTCTGCTGTAATGCCCTACCCACCATATTGGTTAATAAGTCCCAGCTTATCCTTTGAGATCCAAATCAAACCCATTATCCCCTAAAAAGATCTCTCACACCCCCACTGTTAGGGTTGATATTTCCTGCTACCATGCTCCCCAATGCCATGTTTAAACTTTTGTTATATCAGAGTGTACCTTGTACTGAGATGATTTATAGATACATATTTCCACCACCAGATACGAATTCCTAGGAGGCAGGAGCCACGATACTAATCTATGTATCCATGTCTAATACTCGAAATAATTAACAAACCTATATTCTAATCTGACCAATCAGAAAGGACATGGGATCAAAGTCCTGGGGCACCCTGATGAGTCATGTGTTAACCCTTTAATTGCCATTGGCTTGTTGGAAAGTCCTGGGGAGCCTGAGGGAGGAGTTCTGGCGGCTCTAGTGGCAAGGGTTTTACTACAGTGGAGCTCAAACAATTGAGTATTTGTCAACATATGAGGAAAATCATCTGTTACAATATTTTAACAAACAGTGCATAATTGGTTGAATGTCCGCTTTGTTCACAACTACTAGAGTTATCAAGGCTTCCCAAATTATAGGCCTTTTGTAAATAATTGTTATATAATTAAGACCAGAACTGAAAATGAGCACAGGGTTTTTTGTTTTTTTTT